AAAAAAGAGAAATGAAAAACAAATTCATTTTAAACGAATTGTCTCTATAGACAAAAGAGATAATAGACACTTGATAGTTGTTATAGAACATATGATGTTTATTACGTATGATGTGAATTCCAGCTGTGTAGAAAATGATTTATTTGTACGCACTATGATCGATCGGAAATGATGGAGAAAAAGAAACTAACTAGTGCCGTTTGAACTTTCCTTTTCTCATTTATCATATCACTATGACCATCAAGAAGATAAGTATATTGTTCAGAAATACAAGCTTGACTTTGATCGAACATAAATGAAAACCCGAATAGAAAGTTCATTATGATAGATATAAATGTATATATAATCACTTTTTATAATAAAGGTCAAACGATTTTCCGAGAAAAATTTTCTATTATAAAATTTGTATATGAAGTGTCATTTTGATTCTCAATGGAATACTAAATTTAAAGATAATGTTTTTTTTCTCCTAACGCTTCATTTAATAATCGAACTAGGCATAATCATTACATTGAAATAAAAATGTTATTTAATTCTCATTATAATTCTCGTTCAATTTAATATTTCATAGTAATGAAAACTCCATTATGAAATGGAAAAAAAAATGGAGAAGAAGATAATTATGAAAGGAAATACATAGTTAGTCATTTAACGTCTAGACATATATATATACACTGATCTTCTTTTCTTTTATAATCATGTAAAAGAATTCAATTTTAGCTCTAGGTGTTTGAATTTAGTTTCCAATAGAAAATATCGAATAAGTAAAGAAAGATGCTATAATTTTTTCTATAGATATATATGTCTTTTGCTAAATGTCATCAGTTGTCTATCCATAAATTGAATTGATTCTCTTGACAATGAAAGACAAACAGTATATTATGACAAAAGAAGCATTAGGGCATCAGCTCGCCGCCATTGTTCTCATTGAACAAATGGTTCATTGACGTGATGTCTTCTGCTCATCGCGTGTATATTGTGTGTGTGGATAAGAGGCGGGCAGCTGACTGGTTTGTTTCATTGTCGACATGTGTCAGCCTATATATATGATTGGGAAACATCATTATCATTCTCGATTAAATGATTACTAGATTTCCTGTACGATGGAAAACTACATATTATTTTCTATTCTATGTATATCTTTTTTTTTGATATTTCAAATACGCAGATGGTACATTTCGCCTCACTTCATCTATATTTTGTCACCTAAAACTTATTCGAATGATTGATTAAATTGAACACATAATATATTTTGACACTTCAATTCGTATGAATATTTGAATAAAACTAATCATTCGCAAAGGATTCATTTAAGTTCTTATTGTTTAATGTTGTAAATAATAAAGAAAGGGTGTGAGTGTGATGTGCAAATAAGCGCATCAAGATGAACATCAATTGTAACCATGGATAGATGTAGATAATTGAGCTGAATAAATTAATTGCTATCGAAAAATCTTTCAACAATAGATTACCCAAGGATAACAATGATAATTATCAAGAGAAAAATAACAATTCTTTTTTTCTTTCAATATTATATTTGTAGTACATAATAAAAAATAACAAATAATATTCAAAATTCTCTACATCACACTTGTATCTAAAATGATTGTGTACATCTTAAAGCCAAGGAAAATTTATTTGAGCAAGTTGTTTAAATTGTCTATTACATGTTGAATACAAATTTTTTAGTTTTGCACGTGTAATGTCAGAAATAAATGGATGTTGTCGTCCTTTGGATGATCCTAAACATCCATTTGGTTGTTTTATACATGGAAAACCACGTTTATTTGAATTAAAATAAAAATTTTCTTGTCGAATATCATTTGATATATTTAAAAATTTTTGTACATGTTGAAGTTCTTCCCATGGACGTTGAATTAAATTTTCACCATCAACAAAATGTATTCGTTCTAATGGAAAATATTTTAACCAACGACGAAGATATATAGCATAACAACCAATTTTAATTGGTGTCCAACGAGTAAAATTTTTCATTGAAATAAATTCATCAAATGTTGGATAATATTCATGTCGACTTTTAATTTGAACATAATCACTTATGGCTCGTATAACTGGATCTCGTAAAATTAAAATTAATTTAACATCAGGTAATAAATGTGCTAGACGTTTAGGTGTATGTCTATCAATGAAATAATGTGGCGTTTTTTCTATTGTTACATATTGATTAGTTGTAGCTATTGGCATCTGATTTCTAAAAAATAATAAATAAACGGTACTCATCAATCATTTTACATTTTTTTTTCTTCTTCGCTTTCTCAAGGTGTAATCGTTCAATTATACGATTATGATCATGGCATGTATATGTATGTATGATAAATGAGAGCACAGAAGCAACAGTATATGTTATATTAGACGTCATACTGTGATGATGATAAGATAAAAACAAGGAAGTGAAGCGAATGTTTCCTATACGCATCGGCACACCTTTTCTTCTCGCCGGATCAATTTCACCATTGATCTCTTGTTTTCAACAGTCAATAATGAATTACACGATGTCTTGTTTTTTCTCTTATAAAATATATTTTGTATTATCAGACGAAAAAAACGTTATTTATAATTACATTCCATTCATTTATTAAAATATATTTTTAATAGCAGATGAAATCATTTTCAATATATATTTCAAGTTCAATGCTTTTACTTTTCGTGTAGATTGATCTCTTATTCTTTATCCTCTCTATTTTTCGATTGAATGCATTTTTTTAAGGTCCTTTTCAATTAAAATTTGCCGCCCACCTGATGCGATCAAAAAAAAAAGGGCACATCTGCACAAACTATTTTACATAAAGCTTTTTACTTGCGTGCCATATCGATTTTATATTTTATTCTATATAATAAATAGTAGTCGCCCGTAGGGATGTTTCGATTACATAGGATGAAACACGCGAGAGAAATTTCATTTCCAAAATACTATACTAGACTATGTAATGTACAAATATACACTAAAAAAGAAAATCGATTTCATGCTAGAAATAATATCTCGGACATTCTCTTGAACTAAATTATTGATGTTCATAGTTACTGTCATTTTTGCTCTCTCTAATGATAGAGATCATTATACATGCTTGAATAGACTCCCTAGTATACTTATTCGTCTCATCCCTACGCATGCGCATGTGTGCACTTGAAAGAATAAACGCGCTCGTCTGCACTCTTGAGACGATGACTTTAATCTATCTGTTGTTTTAACTAATAATTTATAGTACATTTTTTTCGAAAAAAACTTTTTTATACGTACCGATACCAATCCGACCCAAGTCGAAAGTTTTTGGGAGTATCAAAGAAATGAACTTCTTGTGATGATGCAGCTATAGCTGGATGTACAGATAAAAATTTTAGTAAAGCACGTGTACCACACTTTTTTACACCAATGATGATTGCTTTTGGAAATTGTTGTGAATTTGTTACTTCAGAAGGAGAAGAAGATATAATTGTTGATAAAATACAAACAATAACTAGTACTAAGATCATTCCATTACGTCAATTGAAATAGACAAGACAACACTTGACCGACATCCAAATGATTCGTTGACCAGCAACTAGTTAATTGATCATCGACAAGACACTATGATTACATATATACATACATTGTGATCCTCTCATTCTCCGGAAGAGAAGAGAAGAGAGAAGAGAGAAGAAAAAAAGAGAGAGAAAGAAGGAGAAGTCGTTTCTCTTTCTTATTCTATGTCTCAACAAAGAGTTCATACGTTTTATTTGCTGTTGTGCCTCAACACGCGTTTTCTTTCTCTCTGTTATTGATTGAACGTGTGTTTGTATGGCAAACGAGTGTCAAATACGAAACGGATCAAAGTACCCTTGATTTTGTCTCTGAACAAACAATACATGTATTCAATGAGAAGATTTTTAATCCCACCCATCGTCTTCATTTGCTTTGGGTGATGTTCATATGTGATATCATATTGATTATAATCGTTCATTCGAGTGCATCAAAACTATGCAACACAAAAAAGAAAATAGTTTCATTCATTTTGACGAATATATAACTTGATATATTATTACAAAAAAGAAAGAAAATAACAAGAATTTTTGACAGATATATATGATGCAACAAAAAGCTCACTAGGGAGAATGAATGTTTATCGATAATATATATATGTGGGACCAATTAGCTGTGCATGTGTGCAAGCAACATACAAAATAAAAAATGATGATGATGATAGGCACACGTGTGCTTATTTGTTTATCGTTGTAGTTCATCAACTGAAGCAATCTCTGTTAACACTTTTTTTATTATTAAACTTAAGGTTACTTATGACATTTATAATAATGATTATAAAACTGATTAGATATATGGTTTTTTAAATGAAAAAAATGTTTAGATCATCAATATGCAAATATAATATCATAGGAAAGAAAATATGTAGAATATTGGATATATTATATACGGAGGAATGTTTCTCACCATTAGTCAAAAGAATTCTATTGTTTGTTTGATTTCCTATTTTGATAAAGCGAAAGAAAAGTAAATAGTAGAAGTCAATTTAGGATCAATATAATTTTTGTTGTTTTATGTATATATATACGGATGACAAATTCTAAATATTGATATGATTGCTTTTGTTAAAATGACTATAGAAATGAAACTAAATCTTATAATGTATGTTAAGTGAAGATTAGAATGACAAAATAATAATGTTGAACATCTTGATTAACCACAGGACATATGATTCTATTCAATAGAATATATATGTATCCGTTGAATGAATGCCTTAAAGGAAAACAATGAGTGAAGAAGAAGTACATCATTATTCTTTATAGATGAGTTAAAACTTTAAGATTCTAATATATATATATTACTTTCTATTCTAAATGTACGCATTGGTTTATGTTCTATTATTAAAGTTCTATAGAATTCGACAGATGACGCTTGATAATATACTATTTTATGAAGAAAAATATTTTTCTACAAGGAAATATTAGTTCTTGAAGATGATATATCGATTACTAACGATTAATTTACATTTTTATCATCTGATTTAAGATTAGATATCATTCTTTACATTCTGTCAACTAGAATTTGTTTTTAATTGCCTGACGTCATTTAAATAGTAGTATATAGAAATAGGATTGCTCTTGGTATGATTAGTACTTGAAAAATTTTTCCGTTTTGTATATTATTGTTGGATAAAACCAAATCGATAAATGTTTCTTATTTGCTACTTGTTATAGCCCTAGTCAGAATTATTCATTCACGAGGTCAAAAAGAATGACTTTTTGCTATTTACGTCAGCAGTCCTTTTTTTTTCTTTCTTGTTCTGACGAAAGAAAAAGATTTCATGACGGCTAATACGATAAAATGATGTAAAAGAAAGGGAGAAAAACCTGTTGTTCTCTTGCTTCCGACATTTTTTCGTTTCTCTTGTATATGCAGGAGCAATAAGAGCTCTGTTTTTTTTGTGAATCACATACCTTATTCACTTTCTTTATATTACACCTACTTCATACTTGAATCTCGATTTTTTTTGGCCTTGAACAATGAAATACGAATTACAACGATCTTTCAGGAGATTTAATAAAAAAGTTCATCAAGTTGGATCTACTGTTACAAGACTTATACGTAGAGACAGCTCCCCTCTTGTCCATGTTCATCGTCGAATAAGATCAACAGTAGTATGTAAAAATTTTCTTGATATTATGTATGTCATGTCTTTTTATCTTCTAGTCTTCACCACCTTTATCGGATAGTGATGATGATACATTTTCAGCAACACCAACTGAGTAAATATGATACATAATAAAAATAAACAAATTTGTTTTCTTTTAATATCTAGATCATTCACGGATGATACTGAAAGTGAGCCACCTACAACTCTTCCTTGTGAATTTTGTAGTAGACCTCAACCGATTAATAATTTACTTAATCATCAGGTATGTAGATTTTACTATTGTTTGTCTCTAATTTTGTAAATTGAGGAGATTCTGTGTTTCTTGATTCTATTTTATGATATATTAATTTCCTACATGTATTATTATCTAAAGATTTGACTTTGATTTATATTGTGAATATTTTTTTATTAAGTATTTTCTTGAGAAAATAGTGTCATCTATTACTCTTTAACTACCATAGACCTTCATTATTAGAAAAGTAAATATTTGTAACGCATTGTGCTTTGTACTTCATATACTTGTGTAAAAAAAAAGACGTAAATGTGTTATCAAAATATGACACATAGATCAATAATGAAGTCATGCCTCATGACTGTTTATTGATATAGTTATATGAAAATAAAATTTTTGACTTGCGTAATTACAGTGAAAAGCGTAGAACTTGGTTAAAAATCAAGTTTATCTATATTGAAATTGTTTTTATTCAAAAATAGAAATATCAGTATTCATTCATTCATTTTCTATCGAATTATCATATATTACACTTACTATTGTCTTGATATTATCATAATAATATCCATCAGATAAAAAGCAAATTTTGTTTTTTGATAAGATTAACTGACAAAGAAAAAACTAGAATATATTTTGACACATGTTATTGTATGTGTACTACTATACTACATCTTTTTTTACTTTTATTAGCTTCTGTTATTATAAAGACATATAAAGTATTCGATAGCAATCGTAGATTTATTGAGCCTTTATCAGCTTCACTTAGAGATCAATGATTTTGCTGTTATCATTTGATCTAAAGTTTATATTTATGTTAACTTTTGTATTTGGCCTGATAAAAAAAAAGATTTATATTATATATTAATTAAATTACGACTTCTCTTTCTTATAATATTAGAATCGATGTCGAGCCAATCCTGATCGTACACCAGGAAGACATTCAGTTGTCCATACAGGACCTCCTGCACGTCATCCTCGCCGTCCTCGTCGTGTTGTTTCTGAAAATGTATTACAAACGGCTAGTGCACCTCCACGTACACGTACTCCATCACCAACAGAAAACTTTCCTGTATCGAGTGGTCTTGTATGTCCAATAACAAAGTCAGTCTTTCGTAATCCCGTCATTGGTCCTGATGGTCATACATATGAACACGATGCCATTGTTCCATGGGTTGAAAAAGAAGAAACAAGTCCTATGACGCGTGAACCATTATCTGTGAGTAAACTTATTCCAAATCGTGCTATTAAACAGGTGGCTGATGATTTTCGTCGTGAATGTCAACGAAAATCACTTTATAAATACAAACTTGATGTTGATGTTAAAAAAACTGAACAAATACCATTTATAAAAACTCCTACAAAATCAATCTATCGAGCTGAATGGATAGGAAATAATGCATCATCAAATAATTCAAAAATTATTCTTGTACATTTAAATGGAATACATGCTGAAACCATTGCTAAATCAAATTGTCAACTTAAAACACATGAAAATATTGTACCAATATTTGGTAGAGTTGAACACAATGATTCAGGTATTCTTCTCGTTCAAGAATATTCATCGATGCAAACACTTTCTCACTTAATTAAAGATGATCGTGCTAAATTAACAATTGAAATTCTTGATTTTATATTATATCAAATTGCTTCTGGTCTTCAACATCTTAGTGATGCTAAAATTATTCATGGAAATATTACAGCAGATGATGTATTTATTTATCGTATTGATGAAATACCAGAAAATATATTGGTAAAATTAAATAATATTGATGATGCCGACAAATTTCTTACTCATACACCACCAGAAGTTTTATCGCAACATGTTTTAGAAAAATCTGATGTATTTGCATTTGGTAGATTTGCACAAGAATTATATTCAAATGAATTAGAAGTAGATAATCAAAATTTAAGAAAGCGACAAATTTTATGTGAACGTTGTTTAGCGGGTAGTCCACAAGAACGACCAACATTTAATGAATTATTGAAATCATTCAAGGAGACAAATGCGCTTTAAAATCTACATCGTCTATATGATTGTTATTTCTTTCTATGAGTAAAACTAGACATTTATTCCAAAAAAAGAACAAATATTATTTAGATATATTATTACGAGATAGAATTTATTAATTGCAAATTGTATTGATTTAGTTGAAGGATAAATTAATCAAATAATCACAATATCGAATCACATAAAACATGATTTGTCAATAAAAAAATTATTATTTATCAACAAATATTTACTTTTCATCTTCATTAAGAACTATAATCGTTGAAGAAAAACATGCAAGTTATTGATCTCAATCAGCAGGAAGACTAAACAAGGACATTAAAAAGTTTGCTTTGAATTAAATAATTTCGTAATGATGATGAAATTCTTTTTTTTGTAATTTTTTTTCTATTTTATCAAATTAAACTTAAAAAAACTATTAATTCATTTTTATAATACTAGCAAAGTAGATTATTATTCATTGATCGCTGTATATAGTTTGTTAAAGTAAATCATAATGTAATGACGAATGAAAGATCAGTTATTTTTTGTCACCGTAATAATTGTAGTGATTCATAATTATGTATGGCTTTATAAAAAACAAATATGAAAACATAATAATTGTATCTTATATAAGATTTAAGTCATACAATATTGTGAACTGAGTCCATATGTGTAAAGAACATTTTGGGTTCTCTTTTCAAAATTTCAATTTTCTTTGATTCTTATTCTTATATGTGTTAAATCTTTATTTATATTGATTATATAATATATTAATAATGAAATTAACTGTACTATTATTTACGATAAAATATAATTCCAATAATATTAAAAGTTATATGTATATTTGGTTAAAATAATATAGTCGAGTCGAAGAAAACTTATTAAAATGTTGTTAATGTATTTTTCTTTTTGAAAACTTTTAAATGCTATTAACAATACAGATACATATGGCATATATACTATTTCATATGTCATTATATGTGGTGAGAGAAGAGTATGATGGTTTTCACCGTTGAATAGATGAGATTAGAGCACGTAGGTCTATGTAATAACCAATGAAAAAATTGATAAAAATAATTATTATCTATGTCTTTAAATTTGGCCGAGAAATGCATAGAACATACTTACTCTCGATATGTAACCTCAGTTTATAGCTGATTCAAACATCAGATAGGTAGTAGACGATGCCTCTGCCTTATTTGAATTTAAGCAAAAGAAATTGCAAGTTTATAAATTTAAGACTTCTTTAATAGGGTGTCATTTAAGTGGTCAGTAGAATAAATGAAACGGTGAGTAAAACAAAAAATTCAAAAATCAGTAGAATTATTGAATGGTCAGTGATTAATTTGATACGTTCATAATAAAATTTGAACGATCAGTAAATAAAATGGAATGGAAAGTAAAAAAATATAAATTTGTGCAAAGATGGTCTACTTTTCTTTTTTTTACTGACAAAAATCATATTTTTTCACTGCTACTTCCATAAAATTTACTGACCACTTTTGAATTGTTTACTGATTTTTTTAAAAACTGACCAATTAATATATTTACTGATATTTCAGTTATTTTACTGACCGCAAAACATATTCCCTATTTAATACTCTATCACACTTCTTTGAAAAATTATAATCATTTTCTCAAATTGCTTCCTTTTCAAAAATAGAAACTAATTTTCTGTTATGATTATATTTGAACTATTTTTTATTAATAATAGAAAGCTTCTGTAGTCTATTTAATTAAATTAAAAAAATTTGGATATATATATATATTAACTATCAATATCGAAATAACCTTGAATTGCCCAATGAGTTGATGGAAAAATCCTATCAGATGTTTTAATATGTTGAATACCTTCTAATTCCATATGAATTGGTTTAAATTGATCATTTAATGATGTTGATGTTCGATAAAATAGCCGATCATAACGTTCAGGTTTTTCATTTCCATTAATATTTGAATTTAATTCTGGATCATAGGTATATGTTACTTCAGGTTGTTTACCAGTTTTTTCCCATAGATCAATGAGATCACACATATTAAAATCCCAAGCATTTTCTGAAATCTATTAATTCAAATATTAATCAATAAATAAAAGGCTAGGATATTAAAACTAACTTTACTACTAATACCAGATATAACAATGTGATCTGGATTAGTTTCATTAATTTGTTCGAAACAGAATGATGATGTATTTTCATCAATTACAGCATTGAATAAATCCAATTTTAAAGAATCTTTATATTCAACCTAAAGTTTTATGAAAATATTTTCTTTTAATGTACAATATTCTTGTTTAAAATAATTACTTCAATTTTAAGCATTTTCCAATTGTCTTCATTTGAAATAATCGATACATTTTTCTTTTTTATTAATGATTTTCGTGTAAATATGGATACATAATTACAATTATTTGGTGAATCTAAAAATAAATTAGAAATTAAATTGAAATTATATTCGTTTTCTTCAAACCAATTTGAACTGATTCATCGTCATATAATGATGAAAGATATGTTATTATTAATGTTAATGCTACTGTTCCAACTTGTTGTAGAAGAATAACATCAGGTTTTTCTCTTAGAAAAGATTCATGAAAATTAATTAAAAAAATATTTTAGATTTTTTCTGTTGTTACCGAAGTAAAATTTCAATTATAGTTTCAGCTCGTTGTTCAATTAAATCATTCAATTCAATTTCATCACAATCTGTTGTATCAGTATTCCATGAGGAAATTTTCAAATATTTCTCATTCGTTTTTTTCCAATTTTCTCTACAAAAATTTATTATTGAAATTAAGTTAAAACAAATAAATAGATCATTTTTTATACTTAGTACTAATTATTGATTGTGCATGTTCTTTCGCTTCATATGTAGCTTTTAATGCTTGATCAATATTCCATCCATGATCTTTAAGTAATTGAATAGCAAATTCAATATCAATACCTGTTGCTTTAGCAAATGCTGTACTAAGTTTTGAAGATATTTCAGCATTAAATGGACATTCATTCGATGAATCACTTGTTGAACTCGTAATTGATTTATCAGTATCATTATCCGAACATTTTTCTTCATCATGTTTATCATCTAATATTTGACAATCATCATCAATCGAAATCGAAGTCATATTTCTTCTTTACGTTGCTTTATATCCAATGAAATCAAAATGAAAAATACAGTTAAGATTATAATATATCTTTCAGTTCTTTGTTTTATATATATTGTCTATTAAATAAAAGAAAATTAGAGGTCACTGGTTATAAGACACAAAATGATTCATAAATTGTAGTAGTGAGAAAAATTATATCTACGAAGGCGAGATTTTTTAACATTGAAAGAATTTAAAATATTTATTATCCTCTTTCTCGTAGAAAAGAGTCCAGTAATCATAAATTGTTTGCTTGATTGTATATCCACAGGGTCAAAAAAACATCCAAGACCCATTTTTCGAAAAACACATTTATAGAGGGTATTTCGATGCGGGGATTTGGAATCTGGAGTCTGTTGGATGACTATGTGGGGGGGGGGGGGGAGAGGTCAAAAAAACATCGAAAGTCGATTTTTCACGAGTTTCGATTGTTTTTTCAGTAAATGCATTTATACGAGAAAGAGCGAAGCGAGTCCTCGGACGAGCGTTACTTGTCGTAATCTATAGTAATCTCTACCGACGATTTTTCTCTTTGAAATACACTATATTAATAAATATACGATGTATTGTATTGTTAAAATGTAATAGAAAAAATATCTTTAGTAACTATTAGAACTTTGAGAAATTTTCAGTTGCTTGACTAGTCTTTTGTACAATAAGTAAAGTATGTTTTAGTCCTATTTTCAATCTTTAAAATCAAGCGAGCTAGTAATATTCTTAAGTTTAAAGATTTAATCGTCTAGGATGATTGACAATAGTTAAACATATTTATTTTGTTTTGAAAAGAATTGAATATAAAACAAAAACAATAATTTATTCAATGTTTGAATCGATAGACATTTTTCGTTCTAAATTTTTCTGTGATAAATCAATATGACGTTTAATAATAATAATAATTCCTAATATAATAATAACTATACCAATACCTCCACCTATAAAGATATATAATTTATTTTTCTCCCAAAATGTGTTTTTCTTAGAATGTGCTGCTAATAAATTCGGATCTTGTGATAAATTCGGATTTTGTAATAAATTATTAATAGTAGATGAAGTTTTTGATATTATATTTGAGTCTACTGTTGTAATATTATTATTCAGAAGTTTATCAAATGCATTTCTTTGTGTTTCATTAGTTAGTATAAAGGTTTTTTTTCCATAATAACATATCAAATTAATGACTAAGAAAACATTATTAATTTTTTCACGACAGGTTTCTAAAAGAACATACATTCTGCAGCAAGTCTTGTTTTATTTGGTCTTGTACAAATATCTTTCACAACTGTAAATTGAGTACGACACTGTGGACCATCCAATAGATCTGTCCATATATATGATATAAACTGATTATTATTTGGGTTAAATTGTTCAAAACTATCGGTAATCAGCGAACTTTGTTGAGTTATTAACGTTCCAAATTGATGAAGACTCAGTTGATCTAAAAAATACATATATATAAAATCGATAATAAATAAAATGAACATAAACTATTTTAGCCTAAAACTACAATAAGTGCTCCTATTTCTAACAGCTTCTAAGGTATGGCTAATATAATCTATCAGAGTTAATAATTAGCATAAAAGATTAGGGAGATTGAGAGTAAAAATCTTTGGCTCATAGTTCAACTACTATTTTTATACTTATAATTGTACAAATAAATACTGAGCAGTTATTTGTATTAGCTCTAAAATCATTATACATGTAAATTAGTGAATAATAGTATCTTATTTAAAAATTCTATGAAGTATTTTAACTAGGATAATAAATGATTATACCTTTATTTTTAGTCAAAATAGAAATTTTTAATGGCCATGGCAAACTTTGAATAGTATTTGTTCGTATATTCCATGTACGTGTTGTTACATTGCTAATACAATGATGTTCCAAGTGAATAAATACCTGTCGCCATTGCCTATTTAAACAACGCATTTTAATTGAATCAAATTTGTTTATATAAAAATTTGATCCTGTTGTACACTCCTCAATTACAGCAGCATTCATAATATAAAACGAATGAATATGCAAGAATAATAATGATAATATAAGAATAATGCTAAAGTAAATCATGATTTATATATGTTTACTTAACTAAGAGAATATAATTTTTACCAAAGATTGCTTCAGCGCTAAATATTGAATAGTATTAGTAAAATTCGAGAGAGAATTTAGTTGTAGAAATAAATAAATCTAATCAACTGAATTCTTTTCTTGATAGATTAATATCAATTGAAGTTTCACATCTAGTATTGATATATACAAAGATTCTATACAAACTTTTAGGCGTTTTATAGTTAAGTTTTACTTGATAAGGGGAAAATACTAGTTTTAACATAGCTTAAACTTTCTCAGTTTATCATTGTAATAAAAAAGATTTATCCATCTAAATTAAAGCAATGAACGACATCATAGAATATATGGAGATATCTTTTCTAATAGAAACGAAGGTATTTTCTGATGTTATACAATCATCAGCTACAATTCTTTGACTATTTTATCGATTCACATGCTTATAAAAATCATGAAACTTAAACGTGACTTCAATTTGTTTCGACATTTCAAATACGATCAACAATTAAACTATCTATAGGATAATAGTTATTTGGCGCTGTTCAGTTATTCTTATCTTTCATATATAATAATCATCTGTTCCTTAGAACTATTTGGTTTACCTACGTTATAATATAAATATGAATATATTTAAATACTTCATACTTTTTCGTTTATTTCTCATCCAATTTTCATGTATATCAGGTAAACATAGTGAATGGATTCGAACTTCTTTTTCTATTGCTTATCTAAATTGAAATTAGCCACTAGCTATGGTAAATCTTGTACGACAGATAGTAATTGTGATGCAAACCAAAAATGTATCCAGAAAAGTTGTCGTTGTAATCCGGATACACGACGATTTTGGACAGGTTCATTAATTGAATAGTGATATTTTTTTTTCAAAGTCTGTTATAGGAGAGACATGTGTTATTTGTGCTACAGGATATACTTTTACAGGTAAATATATTTGTTGAATACAATTTATAATATGTATATATGATTTTTGCTTTTCATTCATCTAGTTGATAGATGTTATAAATCATTTAGTGATGTAAAAACATGGTCTGCAGCTAGAAATCATTGTCGAACTCAATATGCTGATTTATTTACATGGCGTAACAATAATGATGAACAGTTTATTCGACCTATTGCACAAAGCTGGACTCATTTGGGCACTTTTCCATCTATGTGGGCAATGCTGATGTTATCAGCACCAAAAAGCTACTACCTCGCATGGGCAGGTGCTACTATAACTTCATTTCAGCGTAAGTTCAATGATAGATATATCATTAAAATATACACTTCAGTACCTATAACAAATTTGTTTTTGTATAAAAGTCTTTTTCAATGCTACGTTTTTTTCCCAATTGCTAAAACAAGTATTATCGTCTAAGGAATACTTTATTATTGTAACCACAATTATATTAATGAATGAATGTACTAGTTCATCTTATCCTGCTGAAACATGTCATTCAATACTAGCAAGTAAGACCGTATGACTTTCAGACAAAGCACATTCATTAGTAATCAATATAGTCGAAATGTTCTTCTGATACCCCTAACATATGAAAATAAAATCTTTAAAAGAGTTTGCATATATCGTATAGGATAATACAAAGTCTGATATTTATTAATAAACACGAGCTTCTCAATTAAAAAGAAGTGTAACAGTAAACGAAAGTCTGGCTAAAGAATCAACATGTACAATATGAAAATTTTGTTTTTTTCAAAATATTTCTTTCACAACTATTTATTGGAATCATATTTGGGAAAATAATAAATAGTACGTAGATAAACTGAGTACCCATCTTCTTATAGAGAATTAACGAGCGAATATTTTTCTAATAGAAAAAAATGTCTTAATGAATGAGCATTAAAAGATTCATTTTTTTATGGGATAGTCGTCAGATTATGATAAAGATTAATGAAAAGTCATTTATAGCGTATACTGTTAAATGGATGGATCCTGATGGAATGAAGTTAGAAAGCACTAGCACACAATGGTGTAATTCACTGCAATATGATGGTTATTCATTACCGACAGAACCAACTAAAGGTAAAATAATAAACAACAAATATATATATATGTACGATCATTCATCTTGTTATCTTTTTTAGGTTCAAATGGTACGGAACGTGAAGAATGCGTTACATACAATTTCGGTGATTCAAAGAATAGTTTCCTTTGTTTAGCAGATGATTACTGCAGTCGGAAATATCCATTTATATGTGAAATGAATGCTGCTAGTATGAAATTAGCTCAGACCACGCAAAACGGTATGCTCAAAGCAAGGTTCGAATGAATTTAAAAGTTTTGAATTTCTTTTTCTTTGCAGAAAACAGTCATGGAACACCGTCTGAAACAGGAACTGGAACAGGGACAGAGACAGGGACAGGAACAGAAACAGGTAGCAATATTATTGATTTCGAACAACCACCACCACCACCTCCGCCAACGAGCTCTGAACTCGATACAGAAAATCATGAGTCACCATCAGCTGTATGTTGTACATAATTATTTTTGCATTAGAAAAAAATGTAATTTTATCATCAGCTTAGTCAACAGTCGAGTATTCTGTCGACAACAAATATAATAATATTTATTGGTGTCGGAGTACTTCTAATTATCGGAGCTGTCGCTGGATATATAGTTATACGAAATAAAAAAGGAACTGCAAATGGTCATGCTGGTAAAAATGGCGATGCATCTCAAGGTAGACCAAGCTTTGCAAGTTCAATTGGAAGTACAGTAGATGAATGAACAATAAAATCTTCATAGAAACTAATTAATATGTTATTTTTTAATGTTATATATATTCATTTAAGTTTCAACTTAGTTTAATAAATTTTAAAATATTATATAAATTTAATTTAAAATATGAAGCTCTCATTCATGATCAAAATTCTATGTAGGAGACTATAACTAAGACATTGCTGTCTAAAGACGTTTATTTTATAATTGATATCAATGATTATTCAGTTTCGTCAAAACAAATTTCGTTTTTTTTTTCTTCTATAATCTATTATTATCAGCAAATGCGTTCGTATCGCTTCTCCTAATAAGATATAAAACATTATTTTTCGATCAACAACGACCTGATAAAAACCTATAATTATATTTTTCTAAAAAATTTGTTCATTTTACAAGTGATTGATAAATAATAATAATAATAAAACCTAACTAAGACACACACATATATATATGTATAAATCTATAAAACAATTGTTCGTCTTTTACTATTTACTTTTGTCTATAAACAGATTATCATTAGATGTTGAATGAAGATTATAACGTTGTGTCGAACCACATAAATGTAATAATTGACTAAATATAAGTGGTAAAGAATAATTATCATGAAGTGATTCAATTAAATCATAAACATTCGTTGTTTCAACTGTCTCATTTTTATTCATATATGTCATTATAGATGAACGAAGTTCAAGAAAGACTTTATTATGTTCTTGTTCTTCATTCGATTGATAAATAGCAGCATCAAGAAATTGTTCCATATTAGTTTGAAGTTGACTATCGAAATCTTCCTGTATATCATCATTTGTTTCATAAATAAATGAAGGTAATGGCGATAATGGAGCTAATGCATTTTCATCAAGAACACTAGTTATAGGTATAGATGGTGAACGAATAGTTCGAATGAATGGTTGATAAATTTTAGTTGAATGTCGTTCACGAATTGATAAATAATGAATAGTAATTGTTGGATAAATAAAAATAGACATAATTGATGAAGGACAATCTAAAAAAACAGAAAGTGCAGGTTAAATAAAAGAAAAATATATGATCTACTAACCTTTAATCAATTCATCGAAATGTTTTCGATTTAATGTTTTTGTAAAAAATTGTGTTTGTTCAGTTTTCATTTTATTTACCAATGGTTTCATTTTATGACAACGGAAAAGTGCTTGTTGTTCATCGGTAAGACCATTACGGAATATATTAAGATCAATATCTTGTTTGGTTTTTTTTGTTCGATTTCTATTTGATTTTTTTCTTTTCAATGAATTGTGTATGATTAACTGTATTTTCATTATTCCATGATGATTCTTGATCATCATATGCAGATATAGGTAATGGAATATCATCATCGTCATTAGTATCAAATGTTGGTATATGTTGAATTGGTGATAATCGATTAAGTGCATCAATTAAACGTTCAGGTTCTTGTTGTGGATGGCAATGATTTTGTCTTTCTTCATCTTCAGTTTTAATATCGAATATTTGATGATCAAAAAGAAGATCGAATATCATCGGTTGATTATCATTAATCCAGAATTGTTTATTTCCAATAGGTACATATTGTTGAAAGAGTTTAAGATCAAATAATGATGTTCGATCAATAAAGAAATTTTTCGATGAATTCAAAGTTATTTTATTGAGATCATTACATATAAATGAATGATTATTATCTTTTAATTTTTTCTTTTTTTCTTGACAAGATTTTTTTAATTCATTTTTTTCTTGTTGATGAATAATAGTTGATTCAGATTGTTCATTGTCTTCGGTAAAACTATCGTCATGTTTATCTGGTGATGTCACTGATGATGATGACGTTTGAAATGAATTTATTAATTTATAAAGTGCATCAACACGATGAGAATAGATACATGTTGATGCTGTTATTAATTGTGCAATATTGACAAATTTACGATTTTCACCATCTTCGAAACGATCAACATCATTACTAACATCAATTAAATGATCTAATATAGAAAATTCATCGAAAGCATTTGATGCTGTAACAGTACTTGGTCGTTGAATTAATGTTGCAATAGTTAATCGTGCATTTGATAAAAGTGCTGATGGTTCACTTTGACTGTTTGATATCGATAACATGTTAGATTTGAAAGAGAAAAAGAAATAAGAGATGAATATATATGTAGATAGATGTATATAGAGAAAAGAAAGGAAAAGAATGAATCATATTTATATTTAAAAACCATGTTCGTTCGTTAAACGATAAATTTATCTATCAATTCTTTGAAACGCATAGTAAAGAATTTTCTAAACAAGACTTTATAACTTGATTAATATATAAAATATTAAATGCAGACAAGTTTTTCGCGCATTTGTTTTAATAATTATCTTAAATTTCAAATAGATTATACTATTCTATGTTGCGTTCTCATTTTGAGTTCGCTTGTGTTCTATATATTATCTTTATCTTATCCGTATTATCAGGTTAGTGGCAAAATAAACATACGACCTTCATTTCACCTCATACTATTCTAGTATCATTCAATGATTTTTGTTCAAATGATTTATCTT